AATGGATTGCGAACTTTCATACTGTAAATATAGATCTAGAAAATGAACCAAGTGATCACTGGAAGATATCAGTTTCTACTAAGGTTTTACCAATTGAATTTGAACCTCGAAAAATCAAGTAGATGTTCACTACACCTACTTGGGCCATAGCCATTAGAGTCAAAACCTCTCAGGTTTGTGACGTCATCCTTGGAAGTGCTATCGAACGCGGTAATCAGATTTCCATTAAGATAAAACTATAATAAATAGTTCAAATATTTTTTGCAAAATATTTTTGCTTTAGCTAATTTAATATTGCTTAAATATTTCTAAGTGGTGAATTTTTAGTTTTTTATTCAAATAAATCAATGTTATTCATCACGTTATAACTCAATAAAATGAACCTGTAAGACTGTTTGATGTTTTTCAGGAAGCAATATTATTTGCATTTCCTAATAAAAATTATTTAATAAAAACATTTTTTCTTTTTATTTTAAATTATAATTCATCATAATTATTTTTAATGTAAAAAATGAACCTCATTTAAATTTATAATTTATTAATTTCTAATATGTCAGGAAATATTGGATTTAATCATATACTATTAGAAAATAAGAAATGATATATTTTAATTAAGAAACAATTGAAAATATTTTATATCATATCAGAAAAGAGACAAATAAGGAAATTATAATTTTATTGACACATTCATAAAATTTCTATTTTGAAATAGGTCCTAAGAATTCTTTCAAAACCACACGATAAAATTTTTAGTCCAACTGGATATAATGTAAACATAAACACTGCATTTAGTTTTAAATAAACAACGCATATAATATAAAAATAGGATAAAATAATTTAGCTAAGTATTTAAACAATAATTATAAAGTATTAATAATAAATAAGTTATAAATAATTTAGCAAATTATTTAGATCCTTAAAAGGTTGTAAAACTTTAAAATGGTATTTACTATTTTCAAAAAGAAATGCAGCTTTTTTTATTTTTTGTTTATTATTATGAAAAAGAAAAATATTTTCAAATATGAAGTTTTTTCTAACATATTTAGTTTACTTTAGCAGAACTCATGATTCAAATAACATGCAAACACGAAAAAAGCATGCATGTAAAAAAGTTTACGTTTTTAGTGGTTTAGTGGTCTACGTTTACAAATAAACTGCTTTTTTAACTAGTTTTTTAAATAATACAAATTTCAGCTCTTTACTGGCATATAACTATAATATATTTATGTATAAGAACTATATCAATATTAAAATTTTTGCTTTTCAATTTATATATTAAGGATTTAAATTATTACTTATAGAATTGTTTAGTAACCATAATATTGAAGAGATGATTTAATTTTCTATTTAAGTATGATTTTTTAAAATAATTTTTTATTAAATAATTTTTGAAGTCCACGCTTTTGCTTTTAAAATGCTTTCGATGTAGTTTACAGTTGATAATATTATGGAATTTGATAAAGTTTCTCGATCTTTTCGTACTTTTGTGTACAACCCCTCCTAACTCATTTTAAATTACTATAGTTCATAGACGTCCCCTTAAATAATCTTTATTCTTATCATCTTCTCAAATAACAGAATTTTTGTTGATAAAAATATACCTTTACCCTATGTTTAAGAAGGAATAAGCTTAATAAACTTGGAAGCAATTTGTTAGTGAATGCTTACGAATTTCGTATTTGGTATTATCTTTCATAAGTATTATCTTTATAAGTAAGTATACCATTATTTAAGAATTATACATTAAAAAAATATTATAGTATAAGATTCAATAATAAAAGGAATTCATTTTGTTTTTAACTTTGGTTGTTTAAATTCGAAAACAAAAATTTAAAGAATTAACTTCTTTAATTTCAATTAATTAATTTAAATAATTGTAGGCAATTTAAATAATAGCTAATTTAATTCAAATGCCTAGGATAATAATTGTTAAATTTATGAATCAACTGTTCTTCATACTAACATTTCACTTTTTCAGAATAACATTAATCTAATATATATAATTCTCTTACGTGGCTCCCAAATTTTGACTGTATTTCTTTTACTCCGGTGGCAACGTTTGCTTTGTTTTGTTTAAGTTACTATTTTTCTTACACGGCGAATCGACCAATAAGTGCCGCGAAAAATGTCACATGCCAATCTAGCTGAGATGGCTCAACTTATAGCGCTTTTTAAAACGGAAACTGAAATAACCAGAGAGCATCAGCTGCGGCAATCTCATACTATTAAGCTAGGCAGAAGTGAGTAGTCTTTGTCGATAGATCTCTATTTTAGTATTTTGTGGAAAGCGTTTTTTTTCACGAAATATATTACGAATTTATTTTACGATATTTGATTTATATTACGAATTATACTATAGCACATTTCTAATATGTTTAACGAATTACATGTCATTTATTTGAATTCAAATTTATTTTAATGACTTAGTATTTACTAAAAAGATGTAATTTTTTTAAAAAAAAAAGTTTTTATATGGATTTGAATGATTGTTTTGAATTCTTAGAATTTTGTGCATTTGCTATGTACGTAAGTTAGTAGCGAGCGAAGCGAGCTTGGTTTGCGAAGCAAACCATACAAGATTGTGTATCAATTTTCAGGGGTTGGCGAGCGTTAGCGAGCAGGGGGCCCAGCCCACTAGTAATTGTAATTTAAATGTGTGTGTGTTTTTTCATATAATGACACTCTAACATTGAATGTAAAACAACAGTTATGATATTTGAAATTTAAAATTGAATTTAAACTCATGCATTATAAAGAATTTGACTGTTAATAGTTTTTATCAATAGTTTTGCATTAGTCAACAGCTGCCTTTACTCTTTCAAACGCATATAATCCCATTCTTTCTTTTTTTTAATCCCTTTTCTTTCTTTTCCTTTTTCTTCTTTCCTTTTCTTCCGTTTTTTCATCCTTTCTCTTTTTTCTTCCTTTTCTAATGCGAAAATTTATTTAGTTGTATAATATTTATCACTTCATGAGGGATAATTGGCATTACTTCATTTAATTTGTGCATCATTTTTAGTAAAGAAAATGTCTTTAGTTTTTTAATAAGGTGAAGCTATCAAATTAGTAACTAGAAAACTAAAAAAAGAACGAGAATGCGGAGTATAGAATTTCCAGATAGTAAATAAATTTTAACTAAGAGGGTTGTTTTTATTAGTGTGCTTTAAAAGATTGATAAGACATCTGGCTAAAATCCCAAGTAACATTCCTATTCTTTCTCTGTTAGTTTCTTAGCAACTTAACTCAAAATCAAGAATGAGTACTTCCTTTTTGCATAATCCTGGTAGCAGAAACTCCCGACATCATCTTTCTGAATCAGGCATCATTTTGCATTCTTAACCAAAATGAAACTTTCACTCCTTCTCTTGCAAACCCATTTTCGCGTAATGTGATTCCTTCACATCCATTGCTTTTGAATGTATACGACGAAGCGTTTATAAACCCACTATTACTTTTACCTGTGCTTTTTTGATAAACTAAAGCCAGAGTAATTTTATATTCCATTACTTACCGGGAGATTTCCGAATCGTGATCTGCAGCAGAATAATAGCCAAGTCTTGGAAACTTCCGGGCAGTTGCCCGCTAGAAACTATAATAAAAAAAATAAAAATAAAAACATCACAGAAAGGGACTAACTAAAAAATCTGTAACTGGTAGCCACCCCCGGGGAAACATCTACATATTAAAAAAAAAAAAATTTGCAAGTTTAATCTTGCTTGCTTCCACTATTTCAATTGTTGTTGTTGTTGTTGTTACTTTACGTCGCACTAGAGCTGCACAATGGGCTATCTATTTCAATTCAATCTGTTATGTGTGCCGTCACAAAGAAGACAATTTTAAAAATATCCATCTATTTTATTTACAATCAGAATATTAAAATCGCTCTAAAAACATCATATAACATAAAATCATCCAATCACGTCGCCAGCCACATTTCGCGTTTTTCTATTCAGCTGCCACCTTTGGCAAGATATGTCTACTGTTGGCGAAAAAGTACGCGTTGCATTAAATTAAAGGTCTAAATCAGAGGTCGCCAAAGTGGTCTATATAGACCCCCAAGGGTCTATTTAACAAAAGCAGGGGTCGATCTGAGACAGGGGGGCGAATGGGGGTCGATCCGAAACGGAAGGGTCAATTGTGGGTCGAAAAAAGAAACAGTTCTCAATATGCAAATCACACATACCTAATTAAGTATGTAAAATTTGTGAATTTTTTTTTATAATTGACTCAATATCAGTTTCTTTATAAAACATAAATTAATAAACGTTTATTTATTGGGGTGAAACAAGTATGTACGTACCACCGCGCAGTGGCACGAACTCAGCGCAGTTTATAAGTCATATGCATATATGCGCTTGTCCAAATGTCACGTGTGACGAGCATTGACGTTACAAATGCAA